CACACACACACACACACACACACACACTCACTCACTCACATACACACACATTGTTTCCTCATTGCTCATATCTTAATTTTCATGCCCAGATATTAGAGGCCAATATAAGCATCGATTTGTGTTTATCTCTGTGTAGTGCATGTGTAATACCTGCAGCAGAACTAATCAATGAATGAGGGTAGATGGAAATGGGAATAATCTATCATCATACATGGTCTTGGTTGGACTAAGTGAGTAAAATACATTAGTTTGTATTGATTTTGTAGTGCGGCTGTGTGCGGGTTGTTGGGCACAGACAGCACGACACACACACACACACACACACACACACACACACACACACACACACAAACACTGGCCAGATGCAAATCAATCAGCCCTGTTCTGTTTTCCTTCAACACAACATTTTACAGCAGCCTATTGATGTTGTGGTTGTGAATCTGAACTGACTCCATCCTAACAGGCCACTGATTAGTTTAGTGGTGAAGAAGGTGCTGGAAGTCAGAATGTGACATGTACACAAGATCAGAGAAATAAAGCATGGGGAGGATGACACCCTCATGCACCGTCGTAAATATCACAGCCAGTTATAACTTTTTATCATAAAACACAGTGGGGAAACCAAGTACAACTGATCAATGGATACTATCTATAATTTGAAACAATTATGATAATGTATACAATATGTGATCAAAAACATGGCTGACAAGAAAATTGTTTTCTCAAAATATTAACTCAGCTGCCACCTTAACTAAAAGTCATCAGGACACAGGTACAGGTAATTCATTGAAATCCTAGAACCTGATGTGTACTGTTTGCTGTCGGTGTTGCTCTGTTGTTGGTACGTGGTTTGTGAGGGTAAATGTGAATGTGCATTAATGTGGCACTGAATACAACCCACTTGAGACAATATACTAACTAACTAACTAACTAACTAACTAACTAACTAACCAACCAACTAACTAACTAACTAACTAACTAACTAACTAACCAACCAACCAACTAACTAACTAACTAACTAACTAACTAACTAACTAACTAACCAACTAACTAACTAACTAACTAACTAACTAACTAACTAACGTATCAACTGGTTAGAGGATTTGAAATGATTGAAATAGTGAGATAAGTTAAAGTGAGACATCTGCAGAATTTATGCTTGATTTGGATCATAATAAAGTTGAATACATTTGAAATTAAAGCAGTCATCAATGTATAACATTATTATGACATATTATTTCCATGCTACAGTGTTTTCGGTGCAAATAGTAATAGTAATATTGGTAGTACTGGTACAGACCACTGATGTACTATGAAAACTTATAATACAAATGAACTTAGATTAAGTCAGAACACATACAAGGCATTAACTCCTCTAGAATTGAGTTTGTTGACTTTCTGAGAAGTCATGAACGCACCATGAGAGTCTCAGCCAATAGCAGGAGAGCATGACGCTGTGTTGTGGTGTAAACGACCAATCAGCGGCCGTTGTGCGGAGTAAACGGACACTGATCCTCGGGTTCCTGACTACCTGTGACTGTGTGAGTGGAGCTGCTGTTCTAACGCAACAAAGGATCCGTCTCTACGCGGCTCACACACATGTTCCACCGCTGGAGTAACGCTGCTGTCACCGGCGGAGGAGAGGACGGACATCGACTCTCCAGAAACCCGAAACCGTGACGAGAGGAGTTTGTTCGGTGAGTGTTTCTCTGTCTGCACCGGATGAAGCGGAGCGCTCGGTTGTGTGTAGTTGCAGCGCGGAGGCGAGCGGCGGAATCCCGTGTTTCCCTTCAGAAAAAGTGTCTGTTCTACGTTTTCTCACGTTTGAGTTGTTGCGTGAATGTTATTTTCACAACTTGTCTTTATTTAATCCCTTATTTAGTGTGTGGCCTCTTGGTGTGTTGTTCTGTTAAAGTTCTCACAGCTGACACGAGGAATCCTCAGGAAGGATGAACCTGAATGTGCATCTGCACATGGTTACATGTTGTTATACTGATGTCACCACATCTGTCATTTTACACACACACACACACACACACACACACACACACACACACACACAACGTTACTTCAACCTATCTTTCCATCTATCTCTCTGTCCTAACCCGAGGACACTCATTGACTTAATACATTCCCATGCTCATAATTTAGCCATCCAATCTAAATGTCTGATCCTGACCTAAACCTGGTTCTAACTCTAAAACATAGTTTTAATCCTCAAACAGGGCTGGTTAGGACGGGTAAAATGTCCTCACTCTGTAGGGTCTTGGTCCTCACAAAGATATAAGTACAGTGCACTTCTAATATTCACCAAATACTTCAACTTGTTTTATTGACAAACGGATTAACTGTTGCACATTAACAGGAACGTTTTCAGTAGACCTGGACCCATGCATTAGTTAGCTCATGGTTCAGGCGACCTTTCACTGATATATTGTATTAGCATTTAGTAGTTTTTCCAGATATGAAAACTTAAACTTAAACAATGTAGATTTGTTATATAAAAAACATATATATTTTAGAACTTTGTGAAGTTCTGTATTAGTGTTTTCTCTTTATTTATAGTTATTTCTAATGAACTTGGATAAATGAATAAACTGTTCAAGCCTCGGTTACATTTCTTTGTCATAAGGGTTTGATAACAACATCAGCCCATATGGGCATGGGCAGAAATGTTTTACTCCCAAATATCAGTTTCTCCATCAGCCTACAAAAATTCACATCAGTCAGGCTCTAGTTTTTACCCTGTGTTTGAAAGCACAAAATTAAACCATTGCACTATCAAGGATTAAAAAAGGAAAAATACGTTTTTGATCCTTGCATTGTTGAAAATGATCGTTCTCTAATGACTAGACACTAGTTGTTTGTAGAACCTGACGATGGTTAAACTCCAACCAGAGAGGCCCCAGCAGGTGTTGTAGGTGTGTAATAAAGTGGATCATCTTTCCTCTCAGCACACTGATCACTTCTCTTTGTGGCGTCGCTTTGACATTTACCCGGCTAAGATGGGTAAGGTGACAAGGACACGGAAAACAGAGAGCAGATGGTGGGAGTGGGGAGGGGACGAGAGGCAAGAGGAGTAGATGGAGTTGAAAAGAAGGGCAGGGGAGGGAGAGAGCAGGAAAGAGGATGATGAGAGGGAGCGAGAAGAGGGACCTGGGAAATGGACAGGGACGAGTGTGACAAGAGGAGAGGTGACATGTGTTCCCTCACATGTGCCAGGTGCAGCATCGCTTCATTTGGTTTGATAACAATTAACAGGCCAAAGTGTGTGTGTGTGTGTGTGTGTGTGTGTGTGTGTGTGTGTGTGGGCGGAGTCTGCTGGTTGATGGATGACCTGTCGTAGTAGGGTGGGGTGAGGGGGTGGTTGCTCGGTGGGGAGAGAGATGGAGGGGGACGACAGGATGGAGCATTATGTTGACAGGGGGTCATTTATCTGTCTGCTGGATCTGACCAGCCAGGCACCATGGGAGATCGGGCGGCTCACCAGCGTCTTACCCTCCTCACCACCTGTGTCTCCCTCCCTTCTTCTCTTTCATTCTCTCTCCTCAAGTTCCCTATCTCTTCTTCTTATATTTCCACACCACTTCCCCTGCAACTTTGCTGCTCCCTCCCCATGTTTCTAGCGCATTATGTACAACTCATTCTTATTCTTATTCTCCACTTTGCTTTCACCGCCACTTTTTGACTCCTGTTCACCCTCAAAGGTCATTTGTCTCTGAAACATGTTTTATCTTATTTGTTGAAATCCTCTTCAATCGCCATCGATGGGAAAACAAGGCAGGCGTATGCAGCCCTCGCAGGTTCGAATGAAATGATTGGCTGAAGTACCTGTGTCTCTCTAACGGACCTACCTGCACACACCCTGACGGTGCGCTCACTGTGCATTGAGCGAGCGAGTCACGGAAAGATCGGCTTCTAGCAGTTGACAGGCAGTGCACTTTAATTTGTTTTGGGGGCGTGGCTTAGAAAAGGGGGCTGATGGGAGGGGGTGGGATTTATGGGTTGCATATTGTATCCTGCTCTTGCTAGCTTTTACAAGACTACCAGCCCTAGCTTTAAAGCTCATTTATGATGCCGGTATGTACGAACAGAGATACGTCCATTTCAAACAATGTAACTGTCACTGATCGCGTACGTCCATGCATCCTCTTTGTTGGCATGATTGTTGATCAATACATCTACTAGAGGACAGCAACAACAACAATTATGACAATGGTGGAGGAGGTTCCTCAAAAAGTTCTGCCATTATTGGAATTTCGTCTTTTTCTTTCGTGTCCTATGATCGTCTGACTTGAACTATTGGACACTTTGGCTACACTTTCCATAGGTACTAAAGAGAGAAGGCTTTTTTTTTTCCATATGTACATCCAGCATTGAGAATACATGAGCCTTTACTCAGCCTGTTGTTATTTGACCCCCTGGAAATTTCCCCAGTTATCATTATGTTCCTCTGTTTCCTGTCTACGTACAAACTGGAAATTCAGCTGCTGACTTCAAGTCCTTTGTGTGAAAACACTTCAGACAACACTAAAAACATGTCTTACCTGTTTGTACCTGCATCTTTCAGCTCACGCACTGATATACTGAAAATGTTCGCCATTTACTTTCCACTCAGCCCTCTCCTTCCTAATCGGTTTTATTTCTGTCTTTATTTCCCTGCTTTTTCTCTCTCTTTCTAAAAATCTCCCCCTCTTTCCCCTTTATCCCTCCAGTGGGACTAATAAGCGGCTTCATGAGTCAGCGTGAGCAGAAAGCCAGATGGGATTGAGCTCGTAGGCCAGATAAGGGTTTTTAACTCAGCTGTGTCTTATCACACCCTGTCACTGCTACTTAAACTGAACAGACACTGCCTGGCATTATGTGTGAATTGGTAAAAAAAAAATCCTTACAATTGAGATGGTGCAAGTTATGTCTGAGGCGTGCTGGTGTAATCCCTGTGCAGAAGGGTGCCAGTGACGTCAGTGTGCTAATTTAAATGCAGTGATGGGTGACAAAGGAAACACAAGACTTGAAGTTGACCCAGTGTTACTCTGCATCAACCTATCAGCGTCTTAGTCACAGAAAAATAAATTTTAATTGGGTTTCAGGTTCACTTCTCGCCAGTTGTCAGACATATTGCTCATCTGCATTCTCCTAGGTGCCATGTGCGTCACCGCGCTCATGCTGCAGTGACACATGAGGCGATTCAATGAAAAGACAGACAACATTTTGTCGTCGATATGACCTGCTCTCCATCAGCCATCATTATTTGCAATCACTTTATTTTCTCTGCCCTCCCCCGACTGGGTTTGTTGTGTGCAACAGCAGCGGAGTGTCACAGGAAGCCGCCTCCAAAGATGTAAACCCGTGAAGCCTCACATTTGGCTCAATCAGGGCGCAAAATAGATCAGAGTGCCGCGTTTCTAATGATGAGAGTCACATTTTTGGCAAGCATGAGCGAAGTGTTGAATTGGTGCTTTGAAATGATTAAGATCAGATCTGATGTGTGAGTGTGTGCAGGGCTGAAGCTAACAGATACTTTATTTATTCATCTGTAAATATCATGAATCATTTTGTCTGGAGAACATCAGAAAACTTTAATAACAAGAATAGTCTCATGCTACATGCACACTTCTATGTTTTTGTTTGAAGACGTGTCAGCTCTGCTATTGATAAGCCTGGCGTCCACAATGCTCTGGGGTTTTAGAGCTGCTAAAACTGAGAAGTTTGGAAATGCTGCCGGCCAAATTAGTTTCAAATCTCCTGGGCTGCATTGTTGTCTTGACCGGCTGAAACTGAGATGTTTGGAAATAATGACCTGGACACTCACAACCACTTGCTGATTGGGTCTCTATCACATAACCCCCTTCCGGAAGTAAACAACCGGCATTAGTCTCGGCTACCAGCATCGAATGCATCATAAATAATAGATTAGTAGCATTGCTGACACTGTTGTCTTTGCTTACAGCTTTTGTGGAGTTCAATTTGCATTTTACAATGATACAACTGCTTAAATGTTACAGAGACTATTTTCATGTCCAGCGATCATTGTGGTCACGTGATATGCATTTTCCGGTTTGCTAGCATGGATGAGAATTATAATTGATACGGATCCAAAATGCTTGTGTGAAAACAAGTTGATTTTAATTTGCAAATGTATACCTAGTAGTATGAATGTAGCCTCAGTAGTTCACTCTAACAATCCCAAAAGTCCCCCTAAATTGATTTCACACACTCATATAAATCAGTCCCCTAAATACGCCTCTTTTTCCTCATCTATGAAGATCCACGTTCCATTAATTATCTTGGTATAGGGTGAACATATAAAAAAACTCTCGATCTCCCAATGTTAAAGAAAGTTAAAAAAATACTGAATCTGTCCATTTGTCCAGATCTATGCCAAAATGTAATGGATTCTTTCTTGGCCAATGTCCCCTCATTTCAGTTTCACTAAAACCTGTTCAGTAATATTTGCAAGGCACGGGTGCCCCCCTCCCCCCTGCTCACCACCTTGACTGACAAATTTTCTGCAGGGTTGTTGGAAACATCAGCTGGGCAGGCGGTTGACAAAACTAAAATATCCCAATGACTAAATTGATATGATGTCTGGTAAAGACATTCATATCCCCTCAGGAATGGATTGTAATAAATATGGTGATGCTTTGACTTTTCAGCTAGGGTAAACATTGTATGGCTCTCCAGTTTGTTCAGGGAA